GCAAATATATCTGGTTGTAAGAAATCATCATCTGAGGATAAATAATCCATTTGATAAGATGTCTGTTTTTTATTTTTATTTTGTTGAAAAAATGGGTAATTTTCACTGTGATCCTGTGGAGGATTTGTTTGGAAATTTATTGAATTAGGTTGGGTCATTGGGTTATCCCAATTTCGAGATCTTGTATATTGGTTAAAATTTCTTTGTGGTTGATTATATGTTTTTGATGGATGTGTATAATTATAATTATGGTCTGTAAAGTTGTTTCTAGTGAATGTTTTGCGTGTTTTTGATGGTATTGTCATGGGTCTGTATGTTTGGTAATCCATATGTGAATATTTAGGGGCAACCGAAGGTTTAACGGTTGATTGTTAGGTTACCTGTGTTTGTGAAGGATTTGTATTTCTTGGTGTTGTTAAATTTGGGCGTATTGGTGAAATACTTTGTTGTGTAGTTGTTGTGTGTACAATTTCTTCATTTATGAAGTGTGATGGTGTCTGGATATCTTGTTGAGTAAGATTCCTAGTTCCATTGAGGTTTTCATTGTGTATGACTGTAGAGTTTAAACTATTATTTTGTGTATCGGGCAAAAATGTATTATAGTTTAATGGTGTTGCATCAATGGTGAATGGTATTACTTTTACATAATCTCTTATGTAAGATATTGTATTTATTGCTTGACTTGAGATTGATTGTGGGAAGCTTATAAATGCGGGATGAGACCATTCGGGGTCCCAAACATAATCTGATTGTTCTGTGATAGCGGTATCATCGTTCGAGTTTTGGGGTCTAAAATTTTTTCTTGCTTGTGCAATTAAATCAATATTGTGTGTGAAATAATCTATTATGAACCATGCCAAAATTTTTTGTAGATCGTGTTTTGTATGTTGTGAAACGTCGTCTTTCGTGAAATTTTCTTTAATGATGTTTAAATAACTAGAGAGTAGTGTGATTTCATGTCGTACTCTTAAATGTTTAGATGTTTCTGTCGGTGAGACATTTGTTATTTGGATTTCATTTTCTAATATCGAAATATAACTATATATTATTGCGAAAACTTCATTGGTGAATATGGAGTTTGCTCTTTGTGAGTTATGATATTGGATGCTTTTTATATATTCTGAAAAAACTTTTGAAAATTCTAAATCAAGATCGTCTGTTTGAATTGTATATTTTCTATGATTATGGTTTGGTGAGGTGAATTCTATGGAGTAGATTCCATACTGTTGTGTTATGTTGCATATATCTTTTAAGTAGTGGTCTATGATTTGTCTTTTGATTTTTACATCTGGGAACTCTGTTTTACATGGACTGATTCCGGGTTCAAATAAATTTAATAGTAAATTTTTGCAAAATATATGCTGTCCTCTATCAGTGGTTGCATCTACTATAAAAGGAAAGATTTCATCATCATCTGGGGTTTCGTCACCTGGGGTGTGCGTTGAGCTCATTTTTTCGTTCGATGACTGTTAATATGTAATTATTAATGTGTCGAATTGGTTGATTCCAATTGTATAAATGTACTGGTTTGTGTTTATACTGCTTTTTTATTCTTCTTTTTCCTCTTTTTGATGAATTTGAAGTTGTTTCTGAGTCAGAAAAATATAATTGATCGTGAAGTGGGCAATTTTTATCTATTGATTCTTTTAGTTTGTAAAGTTCGTCTAAACTGTTGGTTTCTGATTCTGAAAATGCGTTTCGGTTTTTTGAAAATCTTTTTCGTGTTATTTGTCTTTGTTTCGTTATTATTTTTCTTTTTAGTGTTTGTCGTTTTGTTCGAATGTATCCAACTGTTTGTGTATGAGGTGTGATTACAGGGTCGTATTTTTTGTTATCTATTTCATAATTGTGTAAAACGATTGTTTGTTTATTTCCTAGGTTTTTAAATGACATAAGGTTTAGGATGACGGATGCAAAAGGTTGTTAAATGATTTCTATTTTTTTTTTAAACTGTTAGTTCTTACGATTTTTTGGTTAGCTTAACCTGGGTCTATTTGTTCAGGGTTGGAGAGAAAAGTATATCGATTCCGAAGAATGATTTTTTACTTTCTCGTGGCTAGTATAAGTTAAGGTGTTAACTTACTTAATCTTACTTAGGGGTAGTGATTGTGTTCAAGGGTTGGAGAATAGTAAATCGATCCACAAGGTTCAGGTATAATTAGAACGCGAGTAGTTCGTTAGATACTATTTTAAACTTACTAAGTCTAAGATTTATCCTGGGTCTGGTAAGAGGGGGGGTCAAGTGAAGGATGAATAACCGAAGTTCTTCACTGTTTATCCTAATTTGAATGATTAGTTTTGTTTAAAAATTTCTATTAGTCTTAGGTCTTTAGAAAGGGTTGGGTAGTGAATCGACGTTTGAGGTCGTTAGACACTAGTTAAGTGGGTGGGGGAGAACAAAGTTGTTCTTTTTGATCCAAGGATAAGCCTTGATGATCAAATTTGAAATTTAATTAAGTAGAAAATGATTTAAGATCCAAGGATAAGCCTTGATGATCTGGTTTTAAAATTAAGTGAATTTAAGTTTTAATAAAATTTTAAATGTGTGTAAAGGAAAGATTTAGTGTTTTGATGATATTAGTGGGTTTATGATTGCTGTTATGTTTTAGGTGATGGAGCTGGAACAACAGGATGATTTATGATTACTAACCATTTATTGTCATGCTACTAATTTTTATTTTTTATTTTTCAATAAATATTTTTCAAACATGTTTTGTATATTACTGCAGAGTTTTAGGAAAACGATCTTAGATCTTTTTATCAATCGTTATTGTATATTAATAATTTTGTTTAGCGCCTGTAATGATTTTGAGGATTGACTTCAAAATTTTAGGTTTGCAAATGAAAATCTAAATTCATTGCTAGTAGTATTCTAAATATAAAAGTTTGTTCTGGTTTTTGCCTAACTATCATATAGCTATATGGCAAGTTTCTACTTTGTCGTATGTCGTCTCTGGTTCGAGGTCTTCTTCCAATTCCGGGTAGTTCTGTTATGGTTCGGAATATTGGCTCTGATCTATTGAGTCGTAGAGACATTTCGATTAAATTATTGTCGTATAACATTTTGTAAATGTTTTTGTCTAATTTCTAATCTATTTTGGTTAATTCTAAGCTATTAAGGTCTTGTTCGAGACTTATGGTCGCACCAGATGAGTTAGGACTGGGGTGTATAACTCATAGAGTAATTTCGGATAGGGTACACCGTCTGCTCGTCACGCTATCTTATTTTCGGCCGGATAGATTCGTGCAACTTCTTAGTCTAATACCGATCCTAATCTTACTCTTATACTATCTAGTCTCAGGTTGTTTAACTAGTCTCTGCTAGGCTCAATAGATCTAGGGTATACTGGTTTATTGCGGCTGCTGAAGTGCTCGGGAGAGTCCAACTAATTTCTAAGTTAAATTCAAATCTCTCTGGTGCTGAAATTACAAGTAACTTCAGCACTTACAAATAAGTGGGTTGTTAGTTAGATGGATCATGATTGGTTAATATTAAATACTTTACATTGGTAAAATATCTAATTTATCCAATCATAAAATGTAGTTTAGATCAGGTTCCACAGATAAAGAATTCCTGAGATTACTTTGACAGCGCACACATCAAGCAGAGTCAAGCATTTCATACTAAGTGAAATTTTGTTTTAACTAAATTTTTTAATTTCTTGAAATCATGCAAAATAGGGCGTATCTCGAAAACTATAAAAAAAAACTTGGCCAAACAGATTTGGATCCAGATTTGATTCCCTGAGTGAACTGTGATAGCATTTCAAGTGCGGTTAGCAATTCTCAAATTTAAGTTTCTTGAAAAAATCCTATAAAACGCCATAACTCGGAGACCAAAGACTTGAGCAGTAAAATTTGGAGGACAAATTTGAAAACTCAGATTGTGCACTGACAGTACACCACCATGGGGTTGAATTCCAAATGGGCTCAGAGTTTATTAATTATAATTTTTTTGAAAGAAAAAACAAAATAATCAAAGTATACGACATATCTCGTTAAGTAATAGGTGCTGAGCAGTCCTAATTATAGGCAAGCATTGAAACCCTTGAGAGTACCATGACAGTATCCATTTTCAGGGTTGGGGATTTCAAATAATGTGAAGTTTTTGAAACCGTCAAATTTCTTTGAAAATTTCCGAGAAAATCATTAAAAAAACGTCATATCTGGGAAACTATTAAATTTAAGGTAATCATTCTGGTTGACAATTTCGAAACTCCTGGGCAAACTCTAAAAGCGAACCACTATACGATTGCTGAATTTTAACTAGAAATTTACGCTGACACGAAAAACGCCCGTTACATAATGCATAGATGGATGAATCCAAAGTTAACACTACAGTACACTACACTACACTGCATTACCCTTCTCCTCTGCCCCCATGCTGTCATCACTGCTATAACTTTTTTATCCGGCCTCTCTCAATTGACCTACCATTCATAAACTGGAAAATCGAAAAAAAAATTAAGCATTGCAATAGACGTTATAGCTTAAACGTCCAGAATTCTTTCGTTAAACATGCGAAAATTAATATGTTTAAGCATTGCGAGATATGTCACACGCATTTAAATACAGTATGGATAGATGATACAATAAAGCCCTCTTATTTCACAAACCTTTTAATTTTTTTATTGAAACAAAACAACATCATTTTGTTTATTCCCAGGGATTAATTTGGTAAATGTGTTTCGAAAACAATGCATATCGTGTTAACTAGCGGCAAATGCTTTTCGATATTGGATATCAAAACTTTCGTTTATTTTAGCAAATGAATTGAAAGGTAATTGAGAGTGATAAAACTCCCCGCAAAGAAGGCATTCCAAAAAAACGGTAACCTTTTAAACATTAAGTTTCAATGAAACTGAAATAATTTGTAAAACTCGCCTTGGTTTAGAAAAATCATGGTAAGCTAATCATTATACCCCAAAAAAATCCAATTATTGTTTTAACCTTACAAAATATTTTGCCTTTAGTACAACATAAATATACAACAGTATTAAGCGCAGAATGATCATGAATGAAAAATTGAAGGTTTTTACAGCATAAGGAAATACAATACAGCCTGAACAAAATATCAGTATTATTATCAGTTAACAATCAACCAAGGTCCAATAATTTTTATCACATATCTGTTATCATCACCGACAAAGTTTACAATTTACGTTTATCCAATGGTTAGATAATTATCAACATACACTAAGTACATGAACATTAGCTCAACCGTTGCAAATCACACTTATTCACACTAATATAAAACGAAGAACACAGTAAAGAAATTCTGATTTGAACTTGTGGTTTGCTAAAGTTAAGGGTTTGGTACGGTTGATTGCTTAGGCTGTCTTTAAATTATATTTTTATAAATTGACCAAGAATTTTATCATCAAAGGCCCCAAAACTGAGTTTCGAAATTAATTAACATACATTCAAAGATAAATCACACATTTTTCCGCAAGTAGTACCAGCACGCAACAGCACAAGGATGATTGAGAACAATACCATCGCTACTTCAACTTTTATTGAATGATTTTACAAATTTCAGCATGTTTAAACTTTATCCAGCTTTCTAACTAAAAATGGCATCAAAATTTTGGTTCGACGTTTTTTTGTGGATTTCTATGATGATATGATACTCTCCATCTTTCTTCAATGTATTTCGAACAGCAATAACCAACTAGTTAATCGACTATAAAATTTCCAATTCAATCGTTTCCAAATTGCTCGCTTCTCTTGACAAAGCAAGGTTACAAAATATTGAAAGACACTCTTTCTGCAACATAGTTATTTATCTACCCCTGTTGGCTGCCCAGTTGAACTTAACTAGCTGTTCGTTTATAAGTTGTTTATACAGATATTGGTCCTCAGTTCATTATAGTTGCCTCTCAATTAAACCTTCTCCTCCCCTATCCCCCTTTCCGGTCGGCTGACAGTTGCGATGCAATGATGCGGGTCTAGAAAGTGTTTCCCCTGTTGTCTGGCTTTTTGACCTTGTAAATCCGGACTATCCAGTGTTCTGTGGTGTATGCTTCGTCTAATACTGTCAGTTCGAAGTCCTTGTTCCCTATCTCCACATCTCGCACTCGGTCGTAGCCGGGAGGCTTGGCTAAGGAGAAAAAATAACAAATGTTATAAATTATGATCACCTTGTGCCAGTACAGCAATAGATAGGGATACCAGTTGAAACAATCGACGAAAATTTTCACGTCTGTCATTATGAAGCATGAAACATAGCCAACCGACAGTTGGAAAAGAGTCGATCAAAACAAGTAAACAGAGAAAAATACTGACTTGTTTTTTGAAAAAACCTCAATTTTGGAATTTCACTGAAAAACAATAGATTGATTTTGAAAAGCCCTTTGAATTTCAAGAACAATTTATGCTTGAATACCTGACACTTGTTTGTTAAAAGTAACTGAATTTGGAAAAACTGGATTAAAAAGTAAATTTTTTATTTCGCAGTGAAATCTGAAAATTAAATTCCACTAGTGTTTTTCGTGACCTGTAGACTTCTGCTCTTCGGTAGAGTAGTTTGCCTTCCTCTTAACAAAGGAAATGAACTGAACTTAAAAACAAATCAGAAACCAAAAAAGTAAATTTGAGTAAAAGTAAAAGAACGAAAAAAAAATATCATCGACCTATATAATTGTCTGAACTACGTTCATCGACTCTCAATCAAGTCATTTATAGTTACAAAAAAAATTCAGTATACTTTGGTCTGTGTGATGGACCTTCATGATTAAAAATGGCAATAATATAGACGCATATTTTTGTTGAAACATTCTCATCGAAATGTATTGTAATGAACTCAAACATTACATATATTCAAAAAGAAACATAGCTAAAAGACAGTTGAAAAAAGAGTCAATGAAAGCAAGTAAACAGCAAAAAATGACTTTCGAATTTCACAAAAATAAAATAGATGGCCTTAAAGCCCTTCGAGTTTCAAGAGCAATTTATGATTGACAATTTCTTGTTAAAAGTAACTCAATTTGAAGAAGAAAACAGGATCGATAAGTATTCTTTTTTATTTCGTAATAGAGTTTACCTTTCTTTTAACAAAAAAATGAACTGAACTTCAAAAATCCAACTTAAAAAAACATCCCGACCTATATAAGAGTCTACGTTTATCGACTTTTAAGCATACAACAAAAATTTTACTCAAAATAGAAAAAAAGATGCTCGGATCATCAGTATAAACTAGTCTGCTTCCCGGTCTCCCACACACCCCCGTTACGTTTAGTATTGCTTCAAACAAGAGCACCAAAAATACAGACTCACATCCGTCAGTGTAGACTTGTCCGAACTTGTAGTAACTCATCTTGTACATCATACAGTTCAGCAGAGTCCCACTGCCCTCTCTGTCCACTCTGAACTCCCCAGTGGGCGTGTAGTAGTCTGACTCCTTAATGTGTGCTCCCAGTTCAGTGTTGCCGCCTATCCTCACCATCCACAGGAACTTGTTGATGTCGTCTGAGGAGTAGCTGAAACAATCAACACACTTTCGGGTATTTCTGCTTTTTCCCACCGAAAAAAAATTAACACCGTCTATCTTTCACTAATTGACGGCGCAGTTCAAACTAAAATTAGATGATGCATTTCATTTTTCGTCTAATTTTCAGACTAGTTTTTCTCGACTTTGAAGTTTTTTTTTGAGTTTGAACTTTCTTTCAGAATCCGTGTGGTCTGAATGGTCGAAACAGTAAGCAAAATAGCACGTTTTTAACATTATTGTTTGAAGTTAAAATCAACAAATTCAGGTGCACAAAGCAAGTGAAAAAATTAAGTCTTAATTGGTAACTCGGCTGCTATCCTCAAGCAAAACTTAGAGAAGAGCTTCGTCGTTGCTTAGCAGTTAAGCAACTTCCTTGAAATCCACCACGATAGTAGTAAAAAAAATCAATAAAATGCTTATAGTTAACCAAAACTTGGCCGTGCTCTCCAACAAGCAAAAAAATTGAGATTCTGGTAATCGACTGGGACATTAGATATCCGCTTGAGGAATAAGACTGCCAATAAGTGTCACCCGTATTGCTGCTGTCGATGCTTGCGGCGTTTGTGGAACTAGAGTTGGCAGAAACTCGATTATGTGCACTCTTTGCAGAAAATGGGTACATGGACGCTGCACCGGTATTAGAGGAAGTTTATCCCAACACGAGTCGAGTTTTCAGTGTTCTACATGCCAAACCCCAGCTGTAAGTGATCCTGCACCCGTAACAGTTTCGACGAGTTAGAGAGTGTTAGTCAGTTTTGTTACTTGGGACACACGTTGCATGCTACTGGAGACTGTGAAATTGCTATAAACGAGCGTATCAAGAAGGCATGGTTTGCGTTTCATAACCATGGTGGCGTTTTACTCGGGAAACGGGGACTGTCCATGAAACAAAGAGGTTTTATTTATTGTGCTTGTGTTCGACCAGTGATGACGTACTCCTGTGAAACTTGGACACTCAAATTAGAACACAAACGCAGGTTTTTTTTCAACGGAAAGGCGCATGGCCAGAATGATGTGTGGAGTAACCTTATTAGATCGCATTCCATCGGACTCGATTTTGAGCCGACTTGGTATTCAGAAGACCGTTATTGACTGTGTTGAAAAATCTAAATTGCGATGGTTTGGGCATGTCGTGCGTAGAGAAGATAGTAATCCAATCCCAGAAACGTATTTCCTTGAGGTCCCTGGAAAAAGACGCAAACGAAGACCAAGAAAGACATGGATAGAGGACGTGAACGAGGAAATGAGAAGACGAGGACTGACGGAAGCCGACGCACACGACCGCAAACTATGGCGCTCGAAGATTCAGGAGCGCCCCGCCGACCCCGTTTGAACGGGATAGGGCGGCAATGATGATGATGAATAAGACTGCCAAGAAAGTCGAACAATTCAGAATTAACTACTCCTGTGAGGCGACAGTTCATCGCAAGCGACAACTCGAAACATTTACAAAAAGCGACAACTCGAAACATTTACAAAAAGCGACAATTCGCACCGATCTTGGATTGACATCATTATACCGACAAGATGAACAAGCACGCGTATCTTGAAATCGTTTATCTGTCTGGCTCCCATTCGAGAGCTTGATTTTAAAATCGGTGGCACTGTTTTATGCAGTGAAACTTGCAAGGAAGACGAATCGCCCCTATTGGGCTAAGTGGATTATTTCAAAACAACATGGGTTGGAACAATTCTTTGTTGACACAGGGGGCAGGAAAATTTGCGATCTCGATTATTTGAGCTCTTAAAGCACTACAAAAACAACAAAACACTAAAACAACTTGAGAGCCTTTCTTTCAAGTGGGATTTCTAATTTCATTTATGCTTAAATTTGCATCTACTGTCTCTTTCATTTGATCTGATCAAAAAGTTTTGCCTCTAATAATTGTCGCCTGCTACGAATAGTCGCTCGGTGCCACTTGTCGCTTTTTTTCAATGCGACGAATTGTCGCCTGCGACAAAAATTAATTCCAATCTCCCTTAAAACTACGGAAACGGATCAGGAGGAGTCCATCCAGGTAACTCGGACTATCATACAAAAAAGATCCGAAGTAGGCAGAAACCGGAGAGTAAAAAATTATCACTTGTAACTTCTCATGCAAACCTGGATTTTGAGATTTTTTTAAGATATTTGACGCATCAAACTTACCCTACAAGTCCTCCGAACACTACCAGCACATAATCCACATCCAGTTGTCTCATAATGCCATAGGCGTGTTCCTCAGTAGAGCTCATAGCCTGGCCCACTCTGGATATGTGAGTGTTGTTCCAGGTGTTGTTATCCACTAGAATAGTCCGGTTGCCCATGGCTGTAATTTGATACCCATAATCCCACCATGACATCACTTTCGAGTCCTGAAACATAAATTTTAAAGTCATTGTAACAAAAAAAATTATGATATCTTAAGGAATATCTTTTAAACCAATTTAATATTTTTCAAACACAAAAAGCCAACATTATGACCTACAAGAGCCTGTACTATAGAAAAGATTACGTCACTGGAAATTATGATAATATCAGTAGTCGATTTAGTACGAGAGGGCCGCCCGCTTTTCGGGAATTGGACATACTTGCACAGAAAATGTCCACCCTTTGAAACGTCTTTTTTGCACAACAAACTTGCGTCTTTGGGCGTTTCAGAAAAGCTCAGAAAATGTGTGGTCACCATGATGATTTTTTTTTGAATTCTTCTTCCTTTATTTAGAAAATCATATATCCGCCCCAGGAATAAACAACCGTGTTGAAAGACCCAAAATTGACAACTTTTCTACTTTTGATATTTGCCCAGAGACCTTGATTTTAATTAGTTTAAATAAACCAAATATGAAGTATAAGATATTATGAACAAGGTGAGCCGTTGTTGCGCATGTAGCATAAAATGTTCGATCTTATGTTTTTAAAATATTTCATATAAGCCAAGAACAAATAAAAAAATTGACACTAAACAACAATTGGAAATAACGGAACACACTTAGCATTTGAACTTTTACAGCGCTTCGAGTTCACTTTAAGTTTTCGACCGAAAAAGATAAAAACTGTCTCTTGCATATGTTTGTGCGTTCAAGTGATTTCGACAATAAATTGGCATGTACTTTTATATAAGAACAAGAGGGCTTAACACCCTTATTCACTTTTATTCACACCCTTATTCACTTTTATTCACACCCTTATTCACCATAGACAACTCAACCAACTGGGTCAAGGTATAAATGCATCTGTAATTTTGCGTTTCAAAAAATCATCATCACAACTTCTTTCCGGACAAAAACTGAACGCGCAAAAATACAAAAATGTACCCACGATTCCTTCTGATGGTTTTAATCGTGGCATTCGCTAGTAACATTGGCACCGAATGTCTGGAAAAAGAGGTGAGTAATTTCAGTATGGTTCTATAAGTTTTTAAAATAACAAATGTGGCTCAATGAAAACAATGCGAGAGCTGAAAATTACTAATATCTACCAGTCACTGAGATGTTCATGGACTTACCTTTAATTCCGACGCAGACGAAAGTTACAAAAAAATCAACACGCAGGTTGGAAAAATTCAACCCGATTCAAGAAAGAGAAAGACCTTTTTCTAATTTTATAACAAAATTTTCAAATATGCAAATTAGTCATCTTAAAGCTTATCGAATTTCATTTTAACTTAAATTACATTTCTTTGATGAAGGTCTTTCAAATTTGATTTCTTTTTTATTCTGCTCAGAAGCCTTAATAAAACTAAATCACGCAAACTTTGTCTCACTTTCATTTTTGTTATTGTCGAGCGTATCTGCCATTCTCTGGAAAATAACGAAGGTTTGAACAAGACGAAAAGAGGTATCAACCAAAACTGACTAGAACGACGAGCGGCAAAAAGAAACATGACGGCACATTTGAACACCTTCGAATCCAAAAAAGGGTGGAAAACCAGTGATTGTGTTCATCGACTCTCAATTACGCTTTTTTGTGATTTGTATGAATTTTTTTATTCAGGAGCTCAAATTGCCTTACATTCAGCTATATGTAAGCTCTTCACTGCGTTTATTGACATTTAATAGTTCTTCACTCCGATGGTAATGAGAAAGTCAAATGAAAATCTTTTTCAGACAGAGCTGTTCACTTCGGATTATGGCACAAACTTCACAACAATGCTGAAAAATAAGTATCGCAGATGCTATAAAGCACACCAAACATAGATAGAGACGAGATATCCGACGCAATGAATCATCTAGATTTTCTGGAGGACAAGGTGTCTGGGGATATGGCTTCTAGGTGAGTATCTTTTTTAGTTTCGAACTGAACTACCGTAGTCGCAACTTGGACAGTCGCAAAGCAGAGCTTCGCATCACTAGCGATCCAAATTGAATGACTAGCACTGCTTGTAGATGAACCGACAAAGTAAAAATAAATAAAAACTTCAAATACTTATTTTCGAAATAACAAAAAATCAAAAAAGCATTTGGACCTGAATCACCTGCACGATTACAAATTTTACAAACACAGGCGAAGCGAAACTTCGCACTAGTTGAGATGTAACACATACATAGGATGACAAACTAATCAATTGAAAACTGCAGAAATTTTTTTGCCAAAGATAAAAAAAACTGATCTATTAAAAACTTTCCAAATTTTTCAGAAATGTTAAATGAGCATCGAAACTAAGCCTACTAAACTGCAACAAAGCCAACAATTCTTCAGCAGAAACACAATGAAACACAGTTTATGAGAAAAAATATCTCCTGACCAGTATCGAGCCAGTATTAGTAAAACTCGGCTACATCTGAGGTTCGAACATGGGACCTAGATATTAAGTCTCACGCAATAACAACTCAGCCAGGGACGCTTGATGAATCACAAACACTAGCCATAAATACAGCAGCAAGCAGATGCTATGAAATTTATCATGCTGAAGATCATGATTATACCAAAAGTGCCACCAAATAAGTGAATTCCACTTTCATAGCAAAATAAATTCCACTTTCAGTGAACATTTTTATTTGCGAGCTAGGTTAGAAAAAAAGAAGGTTCATACTAATACACTACGCTGCTCGCTAGTATAATGAACGAGCTTAAGCCCCAAAATATTTTCAAAAAACCAAATAAAAAATCAAAAGCACTAAGACAATTTCATGCATCTTTGGTAAAATTTTTTACGTAAGGCTTAAGAGTGATTTAGATTGCTTTCAACTGTTCTTAAATTTCAATTTCAAAAACTTTGTGTTCAATTGCTCTCATTTCATATCAACAAAAAAATTACACAGATGCGAAGCTGCGCTCGGCAAACACTTGCGAGAACACGATCAAAAAGCAGCTCTATCAAGTGACATAAGAAAATAAGCCTCGAATTTGCAAAAACTCGAGGCTTAGCAAAAACTCTAATCACCAAAAATCTGCAATCTAGCAAATTTGAGTCTCACGCGCTAACCATTCAGCCATGGATGCTTAAAATCCCCGGAAACTAGCCACCAATAACGCAGCTACATATGCTAATAAATTGCCAATTCGATGCAGCAAAAGTAGCACCAAATACAAAAAGATACAATTTTGCATGTAATAAATATCAAATCATAAAGCCACATTATGTATGAATCATTCCTTTCAAAAAATTGCGAGATATATTGAGCTAGAAAATTTCTGAAATCGAGATTTTATTATTGTTATGTTGTTTGAAACAAATAGCTTTCTTCGGTTCACTTGATGAATTAAAAATGCATCAACTGTGTAAACTTATAACTATTCGAATGTCAAAACACATGTTATCAATAGGCTGTAAACGTGCAACATATTGCAAACCATTTTGTATTTCCAATTCCATGCAGCAAATATCGTTGCTTTAAGTGGCCACAAAAGTCGCAACAATATTTCCGACTTAGGTTGCAAAAAAACAAAGTTCGTACTATAGCACATTGCTTCGCAAGAGTAAATATGAAAAACATTAGGGAAACAAGCCGACAGAAACAAAGCCGACCGATCTCGGTGCCGAAAATCTACCGAAAACTTTTGGCTTAGATAAAAAAAATACTTTGCAACTCTAACGTTCACCAAAGGTCCATTTGCAGTTAGTACACTCCACTCCAACCATGCTATCAATTCAGCAGTAATAAAACTTGCCATTTGACCATTTGACCTAGTGGCCGGTTGGAAAACCCTTGCTTATCGCAAAGGTAAAAACGCTTAGATAATTGGATCTTATGAAACGAAAACCAGTGATCTATCTTTTGATGTTATCTCCAATCATTTGCATTCCTCAATATTGTAAAAAGTTGACTTAGTCCTTTAAAGCGAAGTCGATATTCGGTTACAATGGAAGAAAGTCGAAGAGAACCCAGTCCGTTAAAAAGCCTCAGTCTTTTGTAATATTTTTAGCTGATGCAAGGAGCACTACAAGAGCTGAGAAGGTGAACAGACAAATAAAACGGATAGTCGACCAAGCACAAAAAAAACAATCACTTCATTTGAACAGATGCGGCATATGATGGTTTCGGGATTTGATTGATGTCAATAAAAATTGGTTGCAGAACAAATACAAAAAAGTATTTAGATTGCTCAAGCCATAACACAAAGTACAAAGAAGGGCATCAAAAAGGGCAAAAAATATCGACAGATGTTTTCAAAATGAAACATGTAGCACAGAATCTTCAGGCCACAATGATATAAGAGAAATCAAACAGAAAAAAATCACAAACATTGAGGGTCAAAAATATTATTATAAATTACTTTTTCTTCAATATTCACTTACTGTTGTTAACTAAGTTAGTAAGGCAATTAAATTAGATAAGAAACTGCACGTGAGGTAATAATTGATACGAAAACGCAAAAAGTTAGTGGGGAAGTCAGCCTCTAATCAACGCTCGTTGATTTCCTCTGAAAACCGTAAATAAGGCCAAAAAGGCTTTACTATGACATCACACTTGAATCTTTACGAGGTTTTTTGAGGTACAAAAATTTGGGTTGAACAACAAAATCCTACCCCATAGGTCTTACCCGCTTCCTTTACCCATGAAGGGTGGAGGTCTTTACCCGTGGGGGTGGCGGCACAGAAACTTTTTTCGGATGACACGACGCAATAAGAATCCACTAAGTCGATATTAATTAAGCCAAAATTTTTTAAGCCGATAAAACAAGGGAAAAAGTGAACTTTTAACTAACCGAGCTGGTAAAATTAGGACATATTTTTAAAAGGCTAAATTTACAGCAGTGATAATGTTTGCAGCTAAAAAAAACGATTCTTAGATGAGGCACTACGCCGACAAAACATAAGCAGACAAATAATGAGCCGAATTTTTTTGAACCAGAACATTTACCGTTTGAAAAAGAACTAACGCTGGTCAGATTCGAACCCAGGACCTTTGCCGTCCTTGGCGTATTCGTTATTACCAGTCTAAATGTGCGAGGGACTAAAAAAATTTGAATTCATTATGAACCAAGGTAACCACCAGGAGACCAATGAGTCCTTTGGACAAAGTTGTCTACGTGGAAAAAGTCTAATAGTACCCGGTTGCAATACTCTTGCTATCACAAGGTTAATAAACGCATTTAAACAGAAAAAAAACACTGACTGGTTCTCCAGTAAAATCTCATCTTTCGGATTTCAAAGTGAAAGATAGATGCCTTTTAAGCCCTATGAATCTCTTAAACAACTTATGATTGACATTATTATGATAAAATTAACCCAACTTGAGAAAACTGTATGAAAACTTTTTTTTTCACTGGGAAATCTGAAAATTAAATTCCATTTTCAAAACTAGAAGCCCATCACGTTTTTCGTAACCTTTACACTTTTCATGTTCGATAGTGGAGCTTGCTTTCCTTTTACAAAGAGGCGAAGCAGCGCTTCGCTAACACTAGTGAAAACACGATAAAAAAAACAGCTCTATCAAGTGAAATAAGAAGTAGAAATCAGTCTCGAATTAGCAAAAATTGGGCTACGTGTAAGATTCGAATCTGCGACCTAATGCAATCAGGAGATTTTGCGTCTCACGCACTACTCATTTGGCCACGCAATCTTAAATACTAAACACTAGTCACAATAAAAGCAGCTGCATATGCTAATAAATTGCCAATGCGATGCAGCAAAAAGGACATAAAAAACGAATAGACTCAATTTTGCAAGTAATAATTTGGAATATAACGAACCGAAGGCATCCACACTAATTTTGCCTGTAACAAATCGCAATGCATATAGACACAAAATGTATAAAATATGCACTTCAAAAAATTGAGATATATTGATTTAGAAAATTTCTGAAATCGAGTTTTTATTACTGCTATGTTGTTTGAAACAAATCCCTTTTTTCGGTTCATTTGATGAATTAAAAATGCATCAACTGCGTAAACTTATTACTATTGGAATGTCAAAGCACATGCTATGAAAAAACTGTAAAGGTGCTCCATAAGTGGCGCCAATATTTGCGACTTTAGTTGGAAAAAAGAAGGTTCGTACTTAAACACTCGCTTTGCAAGTGTAAACAAAAAAAATGAAATTAACTTAAACATAAATCACGATTCAAACTGCGAAAAACTAAACTTGAGCCTGAACAAACTTCAAGGCTTTTCCTGAAAAACAAAACGCCAAGAAAATCATAGCTACCTATATAAGAGTCTGAACTACGTTCATCGACTCTTTAAAAAAGATGGCCTTTAAGCTCTTTAAATTTTAAGACTAGTTTGAGAAAACTGGATCAAAACGTTATTTTTTTCGCTGGTAAATCTGAAAATTGAATTCCTTTTTCAAAACTAGCAGTCGGCCACGTAATTCGCGACCTTTACATTTTAGCTGTTCGATAGTGGAGTTAACCATCTTTTTAACAATGGAAATGAACTGAACTTAAAAAGAAATCTCGAGTCAAACCGCAAAAAAAAATTGAGCGTGAACAAATTTTTAGAATTTTCTTTTAAAGAAAACGAAAAAACATCATGACAACTAATATAAGAGTCTGAATTTTGTGCATCTACTTTTAAAAAAAACGGTAAGAAACCTTTTGCTCAATTGATCCTTGAGGAATATTTATTTCTGAAAAAATCATTACGAGGCCAAACTGTGCACTGGATAGGCGCAAAATTTTGTGTCTGTACGTTCCTGGATTCCAGAGACAAGTTTTTAAACATGTTAAAATTTTGTCGGAACGATCAAAGAAAAGTAAAGAACAAAAGAAGAACAAAGGGAGCGTCCTTGTTGCGGAATCCGCTTACAATGCACAAAATGCACAGTTTGGCCTCGTAATGATTAAGCTCAGGGAAATGACCAGTGTCATTTCTGCTAACAAATTTTCGATCCGAAAATTCTACTACCTCAGTGCAAAATATTAGATAAATGGGTTTTAAAAGAATATGATGTGTATGATTATTCCAACCAACCACAAAATAGTTGAAGATACGTTATTTGGGTTGCTTTTACACGCCAACGTCAGTGCAAAAAACTCGTATGAAGACCAGGATAGATCAAATTTAAACCCTTTCTGATGTGAATAGAGATGCAAGGAAATATCCCAACAACTTTGTCCAGCCTTTTAAACTTAAAAGGAAAATTTTGATTTCTGGAGTATTTTGCGCTAAACTCCATGGCTCAACTTACAAAAAAAAACACTAAATAACTTAAGATAACCAATAGTTTTTCAAGCCCAAGATCACCATCTCTCCGATCCAAAGGCGAGGAGAAAACTTATAATTCGGGTATATTTTTCGCACGATTTGGGGATGTTTTTTTTCCTACCAAAACTTAAAAAATCTGCCAATTTTGAACTTAACTTGCAGGCAAGGTTGCCTTTTCGGACGACATTAAAGCTTGGTCTCTGTCAGAGAAAATAAATAGTTAATGCAAAAGTTTTACGAAACAGTTCATTTGATCCTTAAAATAAACTTTGTCAATCTGAGTTTGTTCATATTTATCATACCTCGGCTGTGTTCTTGGCCAACCATCTATATGCCTCTCTGAAGTCATCAAATATAATCCTGTTTCCGTCTCCTCCTTTGGCCCCGAGGACAATCGAGGGACTAGAATAGGCTTCACTCGTCACCCACACACAGTGCATTGCATACATGGATAGGAAGAGAGTTAGAAAGGCAATCACGGCTCCTGCTATTTCACCCTTGGCCGGGTAGCTGCTGTCGTTGTAAGACGAGTACTTCTTGCTTCCTGAAATTTATTTAGGTTAAAACAGAGGCGAAGCTGAACTTCGCAAACACTAGCATGAAAACGGAAAAAAGTAGCTCTAAAAGTGCCAATAAAGAGAAAAAAGGCAAGAAAAAAGTATTTGAAGTAAACTAATGCACAGAAGCGAAGCTGTGCTTCGCAAACAGTAGCGAGAACACGACAATTATGAGCCTCACGCGCTAACCACTCAGCCACGGACACTTAGTCGATCACAAACACTAGCCACAAATAAAGACGAGAACAGATGCTATGAAATTTCCAATGCTAGTTCGTGATATAGCAAAAAAGCACACAAGTGAACATTTTTATTAAATTTGCGAGTTAGGTTCGAACCATAGTCATCGGACAACCGAGTTTTATCATAATGTATCGTACCTGAAGACTTGGAAGTGGAAGATTGTTTGTTGGCTTGTTCTATGTAGTTTCGCATGTAGAGAGTCAAGATTGAACTTATTCCGATTCCACCAACTACACACATGATTGGCGCTAGGACTAGCATGAGACGCACCATCACACCCTTAAATATGACATCGTCTATTGAAATTATCTGGTGCCTCTTTTCAAAACCAAGACCCAACTTCAAGAATTGGATTAATATTACCTACCAAAATTACATGTTAAACGAAAAAAAAATCGTTTTAATATCTGGTGGGTTAGCGTTGAAAGATCACATAATTAATAAGGTGCCGCTTATTTGACAAAACTATGTTTGCTATATTTGGTCAAACTGACTTCGTATTTTACACAGAGGCAAAGCGGAGCTTCGCACCACTTGCGATACAAAACAAACAACAAAAACATGAAAACGAATAATGCTGAAAAACTATATGAACCAAATTTTTCGTATGTCTCGATTAAAAAAACTAGAAGCCCAGCTAAGTTGGTGCCTGTTCGATATATTTTGAGTTTGTACAACTTATGTGGAATGAAATGGGTAATTTAAAAACTTTTTAAATGGGACTTTGTTCGATACCTTAGTTGTTTCTCTCCTTAAAAAAAGTACGAGTGAAAATTTTTGAGAAATTGGATTTTTCCACGGGCATAACATTTCTCTGACAAAAAACTGTCAAAAAAAATTGGGCATGGCCGCTTATGCCCAATTTTTGTTTGAATCTGTTATTTCGATTGCACTCAAAATCTAGAAATTGGGCGTCAAAAAGATTCAAAAAAACAGTCAAACCCAAAATCTAGAAACCAAAATTACAAGTGTAATAACTTGGTAGGAGCAGAGAAAAATCATCAAAAACACTGACATTGTTTAACAATGCTATCTGTCGCCTTTCGGGAAAAGCTCACACGAAAGCATTTTGGTAATAACTTTTCTGGCGACTTCACTTCGGCTAACTTCAAGTAGCTGAGAAACCTTTTCATTCTGAAAAGATTTTCGCTTTTCATTCTGATATAAATTTAGCGAACAGCGGATGAAATTGAACCGCCATTTACTTGACGGACTATCTTTGTATTCAGGGGCGGATCTAAGATTTTCTCGTGGGGGGGGGGGGCGGATTTTCAAAAAACTTTCGTAAAACTTGACCTTTTTTTAGGTTGACCAAATTGATTTTCCGAGCTTTCCTAAAGCAGTAAAAAAAATGCTATTTTGGCCAAATTTTCTGCGCCGCAGGCAAATTTTTGAAAAAAAAACAGGTCAAAAAAGCCGTTTTTTGGCACTTTTTGAAAAATTTTGATATAAAACTCACGTTTTTTGGCGCGCGCTCCCCCTCAAAATTAGTATATATTGGCGCCTTTGGGTCAGAAGGGGGTCGAATCCCTGGACGCCCCCCTCCCTAAATCCGCTTCTATCTGTATTTCTTATCTTTGCAGCATAATATTGGTTAACTTATGCCTCTTAAAGACAATCTATGGGTCAATCCTTTTGCATTGAACTTGCTAAAAAATTCCTTTTATTTTTTTTTTCAAATGGTAGCTGTGATCTGTGCTTATCCTGTTAATCATACAATTTATTCCTAAACAGAGTGGCTATACTCATCAAATAAGCCAATGTTCTGAACTCACCGCAAAATAGATGCTGGTTATGCCGTACATAATCACGAATATATTCTGCTCTGTGAGTTTATTGAAACAGTAGTACATGCCCACTGGGAACATGATGACGAGCAAGTGGAGATCAAAATAGAAGGAGGACCAGGCTGTCGGCTGGTGTTCTGACACTGAGGCTATGATTGGGATGTTGTTCTTGGCATAGGAGGGGTCCAGGAGCGAGTAGAATCTGCCGGTCCAAGGGGCGATCTGGAACAAAAAAAACTCATTTTTAAGGAAAAGTTTTATCCGATCTACTCATCAAATCCCTACCCTATACAGCATGTAGGAAAGAACTAATTATAACTTTTAAGGTTTAATTCATAATAAATAAATTACACTCATGAAAAGTGTGAATTCAACAGTTCAGCTGAAGAAAATATTGTAAGAAAATAGGAATTTCCGTTTTGCAATCAGGGGAGTATGAACAGCTAAAGCGATCCCGTTTCTTTTTATTTGTAACATTTTAATAACGCAAGTATAAAATTGAAACGTTAATTAAAACAATTCCTGAACAGTCAATTTAAAAACAACTATTATTACGTATACAACAAATAATGGAATAAATTTATGGTGGAGATCAAAGAGAAATCACTACGTTTTTAATAGGATAAATCCAGCCTATACCAAAATTAAATATTTTTTTCCAGCTGCAAATTCTCATTTCTAAGATTTAAAACAGCTTGATACTTGTTCTATTTTCTCTCGCTAGTATGCATTTTCCATAAGTATCTACGTGTCATGTTCTCAGAAATGTACTTCATGTATTACTTTCTCATATTCACGTATTACTTATGGTTGTTATTTTTCAAGAATTAAGTAAATCGAATATCGACATATGAAAAATATCAATATATCTCTTTGAAAGCAATACCGCATACCTTTCCCAGGAACTGCAGAATCGATGCTCCAGTTACTGCTCCTCCCACGCTAATAATCAAGAAAAACTTGACTAATGTAAAGAAATCATCCGGCTTCAGTCTAGCTCTTAGATACTCCACAAACGCATAAATCTGACACAGTCCGAAAACTCCAAAAGCCGCCATATGCTCACTAGTTTCAACAGGTTGGAATCCAACAAATGGAATCTGCATTGAAAATAGGGTTCCCAGACAATACACTGTAGTATATGCAACGTATACTCTATGAGAGAATCTTCCAGTAATCATGAGGACTAGCACATGCAGAGGAATCAAGTTGATGAGGAAGACATAACCACCCCAAGACGAAACCATGTAAAAGTAAGCCAGAGAACACATTACACTCCAGAACATGGATCCAGTCTTGACTGATTTGAGCCAGAGGGTGTATGTTAGCATCATACAGAAGATTGCGATTCCCTCATTGTCGTAGGATCCTGCCACTGATCTGGATATATAACCAGGCACTGTGGACATCAAGGCTGAAGCCACTAGACCAGCTGCAGTATTCTAGAACATTCTCATTATTTCCAACTGTTTTTTTTCGATTCATCGAAAAAATATATTGGTGAAGAAATATTGTTTTTCATATTCTAATAACCTAATTAATGTTATCTATTGATCACTTTCAAATCATTCGAACTTAATTGAAGTTCACCCAAAAGTTGTAACTAGAGTGCTTTTTATTTTGCATACCTGTTTCGTACGAAAACATAATTACACATCTTTTTGCTCTCATCGCTAGTTACTTTTTAAAACGAACAATTGGTTCTTTCTCGTTCATTTGAAGCCACAAGTACTCACATGAGCCTCTTTTCCGAAGTGGTATGCTACTACGACAGTGAATGATGAAAAGACAGGGGCTAAGAACACGCACACTTCCCTCACATCAACTGTGAGATTCAATCCATTCAACAGATAGTAGATTAAGGAAGATGTCACCATCAGGCCTAAACACGGTTAGCATCGCATCAAAAAAAACACGCACGGTTACAACTTATAATATACTTGATTAATTTCTCAACAAATCAAAACCACTTGTTTTCAAGTTTTCCAATTTTAAAAATATTTTCTTCGATATTTCTCTTACTTCATTCACATCCAAATAAAAAACAGCAAGCACCCAATATTCCAATAAAAAATGAGTGCCAATTGATAAATTATTCCTTAAAATTTAGCTTGCATATGCGAAGAACACACACAATCAAAAGACAAAAAAGATGACACAATCACAGAGACGTTTTTAGTCAGAACGAACTCAAAAGCATTCAATTAGAATCACTGGGAATCTCATGCACAAGAAGTTGATAGTATGACGAAAGATTGAAGAAACCCAAAGCTAAGAGCTGATCAACTAAAAATGAGACAGCAGAAACACAATTTGGTTGGACGCCTGTTCCGACGCATTAAAAACTTTATTTCAAAGTTGAAACGCGAAGTTTTTAGGCGTCCTAAGCACCGAATACATTTAAACCGAGTAAACTTTCGAGTGAAAAAAAGTTAAAGAGAAAACGCTTCCATGTTACACGTTTCCGAACTTCAACACAGAGGCGAAAAGGAGCTTCACCTCACTTGCGATACAACTATCATAAAAAGTATGAGTCGAAAAAAAATCAAAATGTTGAAAAAAACTAGGTGAACCAAAATTTTAGTATGTCTCTGAAAGGACACCTAGGGCTCAGCGAAAGCTGGAGGTAATCATTTAACATTTTTTTAAATTTTGTTATACAGATGCGGGACGAAATGTGTAATTTCAAAAATTAGACTGCCCAAAACAGTCGTTGTTTCTCAACAAAGTGATAAGAGTGAAATTTTTTGAGATTTTGGAATTTTCCCAAAGACTTATCCTTTATCTTACAAAAAAATAAGTGGTAGCCACTTCTGCAGGAAAAAATCGCGCAACCGCTTTTTCCGATTTACATCTCAGATTTGAAAGGGTAATTAAACAAAAATTCAAGTTTCTATGAAATAGTCAAAATTCAAAAATCGGTGACTTTTTTCAGCTAAAATCAGGTCCTGGCCGGTAAATTAGGGAAGATAACCGAAATCGTATTTGTCGATTGAACACTGAACCTGAGAATTGACAAGTAATTTTCGAGTCGTCCAATTTAAAAAAAAACTGTCCAATTTAAAAAAAAAACATTCACTTGTTTAAAGGCCATATTTTTTTCCAGCGGAAACTGGGCTTAGCAAATTATAAAATTAAGCTTCCAGCAACATGTTCGGTCGATTAAACCTATGATATCAGTTTTGGTGGGAAAGTTATCGATAAGACCAAAAACGTTCAACAAATCAGAGAGTTGACAATTCCTAGAATCATAACTTTTAATTTAAAAAAAAATTAGGCGTAGCCACTTATGTAGAAGAAATTTAACCAACCTGCTATTTCGATTGAACCCAAAAACGTAGTTATGGTCGAGTAGTTCTCGAGAGAAGTCAAAATGTTTCAGTAAACAATAAAAAATCAAAATTTTGACTTTGCCGAGGGCCATTATTTGTTTTGTATAAAAAAAATATAGGCGTAGTCGCATATGCAAAGGATCTTCGCACAACACGTTCTTTGGAATGAACCCAAAATTTCAGGTATAGAACTGTATTTTTTGGTTAAATTCAACAAACTTTGGAAAAAAAACGCTCAAAAAATCAAAAAATTGACTTTTCCGAGGACGATAACTTTTTGTGTAAAAAATTGTAAAAGGTACCGCTAAAGCAGGTGAGCTTCCTTCTACCCGCTGTCTCGGTTGAACCCGCAAACTCAGGTTTGGGAGGTTAGTCTCAGAAAAATTTGAAAAAGATTTTAAAAACGGTCAAAAAAATCAAAAACTTGACTATTCCGAGGCCCATAATTTAATGGGCAAAAAAAATTGGAGCATAACCGCTTATAGAGGGGAGCTTTTCAACTCCGTTGTGACCATTAAACCTAAATACCAGATTTGGTAGGCTAGTTTTTGAGAAAACGAAACAAAATATCGGTCAAATATTCCCCCCACAGACGTTTTCGAAGGCTGTAGACAAAAGGGGAAAGCAAAAAGAGACCAAAAGAGTATGCAGGTCTTTCTATGTATCCCCTTTTTTGAAATACAACAGAAAGTTTTTTAGGGGAAAAACAATCTATTGCAAAAAAGATTAAAATTTTCCAAAGCCTTCAAAAAAAATAAAATATAAACACCCTTATCTTTTCATAATACCTGTTTTTATCAAACAGGAAATCTGGGCAAACATGCCAAGCAAGACATTTGAAATTCCAATAAGCAACTGGACAAAACTTAGGAATCGGAAACAAGGCGGACAACCTTTGAGCAGACACCAGTTGAGCCGAAAAAAAACTTACTATGTTAAAAACTTTAAAAAGTTTCAAGTCCCCGTTGAAACTACCATGTAGTAACTAGTACTCAGCCATTGGTTAAATTTGATTTTTCAAGAGATTGATCATGTTTGGTTGCTGCAGAAATGATTCAACTGATTTTGTTAAACTAGTTGTTAACCTTATCGCCAGTGTAATTACCTGTACCAACAGGAGCGTTATAAAAAGCTTTCTTGATCAGGATAATTAGCCGAACCTACAGTAAAAGTGCGTGCTGTGGAAAAAAGCCGACAAAAAAATAGCAGACACATGAAAGGCCGCAATATGAGGTTTATAAGCAGAAATTTTCCAGGTCTCAAAAAGCGCAGGAGCCACCCGAATTCAAAGTCTATACCTTTGACAACTCAAACATGAGCCGTACCTCATAGCCAAATGAGCAAATCAGACATTAAACATTATTTGACATGTCTGAATTTATCATGAATCAATATGGAATAAGTAATTTTATGTACGGATTCAGAGAAAAAAAGTTTTCGCAGTAAAGAGTGCAGTACCAGAATGAAATATTTTTGCTAATTGCAGGGATAATCATTGGTAATTTTAAGCGAACAGGACGACTGACACGAACTTCATTAAAACCCTTTGATGAGAATCAGTCAGAGAGCTAAATGCTTCGCATAAAGATCATTAAAAGAACATAAACAGATAACTAAAAATCATGGATAACAGGTTGCTGTGCAACTCGCGCAAAATGTTCCGACTATAATAGTTCAAGAATTAAATTTTTTCCTATGTCTAATTTTTTTTAGAAACAAGTGACTGAATTAGTTTAAAAAAACCGTAAGAATGAGAAATAAAAATAGCTGAAAGAATTATCTTCTTATAGTTTAAGCAAAATGAGGAAATCGGCCTCGCCAAAATTTGGGCGATGTGGTCTGAAAATCGAAAGAAAGCAGACCATTTTTTCTCGAAAGAAAGCAGACCATTTTTTCTCGACACTGCGAGAAGTTTTGAAATTACTTCTCAAACCTGTTCACGACCAAAAGAGCTTTAATATGATGCCAAATTTGACCCTTCGAGCTTTCCTTGCGGCAGACGAAATTAGCTTGAAAAAAGGACTACACGCCATTGTTTCTTCCCACTCTTCGACAGTGGTCGAAACAAAGGATATTTCGCCATAAAACCAGGTAAACGAAACAATGCGCGAAGAGGCACCACAGTGTCGTGGACGACTACAGCAACCGGGGCACCAAACTAATGCAGGTGCAGGTTCTGCAAAAAATAGAGGTGCCTTTGGAATGCTAGAAAGAAGCCGATCCTTCGAAAAAGACCTTTCTGCCGAACTAATCCGATAAAAACAAGCAGACAGACGATAGTCTAAAACAGCCTAAAAATTCCAGTTTGCAAAAAAAAACAGGTCCCGACTAGAATCGGATTCCCCGGCTTTCTTGTATCATTATGGGTGTTACCACTGAGCCAAATTCTCCATCAATTTGAATTTGAAACAAAGCAGATAAAACAAAGGTTATATTTTCATGTGCGGATTCTGTGAACAAAGTACCCAGTTGCAAAACTGTTGCTTCTCACAAGAGTAGAGAAAAAACACCTTAATCTTCATTTTTTGGTCTAAACTTTCCGTTATTTTCTAGAATCAGAATGAAGCAAAATGGACTTGATAATAAAAAGTTACTTCTGTGACCTTGCCTTGAGGTAAAAACATGGCTGCAACAAAAACTAAGCAGAAATACGAAAAAAACTCGAAAAAAAACTTTGCACCGCAATATTTTTTCAACTTTCGACAAGTAATGACTAATTAATCAACAGAGGATTACACTTTACCAGATCTCGACATTCCTAGTCTATATACTTTCTTTATCAACTTACAATTCTCTCCCTGCAGGTAATCAGTAGCCGTCTTCTCGGCTGAATTCAATGACTACAAAACTCACGCCCAAGTTAAAATCCAGAAAAACTTCCTACCCCTGGAAAATTTTTTAAAAATTCTTGGGACCAACTAAGATCAAATCCTAAAGTATTTCCCACACGGTAAAACCAAAGCAACAAAAGGAAAGCAGCGAAGCTCAGTAAAAAAAACTCAACGGCACCAACTGGGGTCGAAAGAAGGAAAGACTCCTAAATACGACACCACAGCGTGTCACATGCAATTAGCACTTCCTCGATTCAAAAACTACTAACGGCCCAGAATGCAGCCATAACTACATGCACAAAAATGACCTAAATATACCATTTACATATCAAATGATACATGCTTTCTTTGCACACCCCAGATTTTACTCTCATCCAAATTATCATTTTGCTGTCACATGAACGATCACCCGGGAAGACAGATAATTGAAACTGCCTCTCACACGAGCGGTTTTTGATTACATTGAAACTATCCCTGTGTCTAAACTACTCACTGAAAATGCCATATAATTTCTTCAATTAAACTTTCACTCAGTCTAGAGATTTGGTCAAGCTTCGCTCAATTACCCTCCAGCTATTCAACTTTACTCAATTCGTACCTTAAGAGCCTTGACCTAAGTTTCCCCAACGAACGTCCTAAATGCTTCAAAACCCCACACGACACCACCCACTCCTTAAGATGTCCCCGAAACACTTCTATTTTCACTACTCTCTCCCTTCGGTCCAATTCAGTTAAAACCTATGCTTTTCTTAGCTTGGACTAACAATCAAGCACATCCGTTGAGCTCGCTCCCGTGGACCTGTGTCGACGCAACCTCGACTATGAAATATATACCCGTCTCTCGCTGTGGTGTCCCCTCATGGAAGAAAAATTATTCAGAGACCATAGCACCGTTTTCAAAAGAAATCCCCGTTTGACGGATTGGTGCTTCAACGTAACTCTTACTGCTACCAGAATCACTTGAGGTTTCAGTTACTGGAATCGAAGGAGGGGTGTGGCGTCTACCCAGAGGCACCCCAGGGGGAGAGGGAGTGTACGATATGGACCAAACGACATCTCCACCAAAAATATCTTACGGTTTCTCACAAAAAAATTGTTCGCTTTAACTTCCTAACTTAATTTGAATCCCAAGGAATCCTAACTGTGCCGTTGACACATAATGAGCTTTAGCAAAAAAAAACATCAAAGTTTGACGCGTTTCGATTTATTCATCATCATCAGAATATGCTCTAATATTAAAGATCGAAGAAAAAACGATCTGCCAGGTCGCATATATTTTGATGATGTATTTAGTTTAACTTAATATGTCAATTAAAAATTTCTAGCGACACTTTCACTCTCCTCTCAATTTCACTAAAACTGACAAATTAAGGCACGCTTATATCACTGATTATGTAAAGTGAAATGTATTCTAATAGTACCGAAGATCTGTTGAACCCGTCTTACCTGGATATATCGTTCCACCAATAATTCTGCCAAGAGGATACCAAGCTGTATCGTCGAACCAATCCAAGAATTCATAGAAACCTTCATTTGACAAAAACTTCGTTGTTCGATAATTGAAGTATCTGAAAAAGGTGAAAGCCGTGATAAATTGTACACAGTTTTGATAAGAGATTTTTTACAACACTTACGGATCAAACTCGTGAATAACACTTTCAAATCTGATAACGGCAAACAATCGAACTGAAAAGGCTACAACAAAAAAAACCATTAAACGTTGAAAACTCAGTATAACAAATATATGAAAATAACGTTGACACACTCACCAAGAACTCCTGCAATTGATAGAATCAGTAGTTTGAGCAACGATTCCTGCTTTGCAAAGGAAAATTTGGACGTTCCAACCGGTAGTTTACCACCGATACTATCCAACAACTCCATGATCTGAAAATTCATCGATGAGCTGCATGAAATTCATTCTAGGAAAAAAATTCAACAACAGAAAAATAACACGAGGCATCGTTCTTCAAGTTGTCCAGTTAAAAAGCTAGGAAACTTATAGACTAGGAAATTATTAACTTTCCAATAGTAGTTGAGCTGAGATAATGACTCATTTAGACAAAAAGTCATTTCGATGATACTTTACAATTTTTCAACGCAGAGGCAAAGTGTGCCAGTCGGTCATATTTGGAAGTTTGACCTTGAGAAAAGCAAGAACACTTAATTTTGGGGTGAAATTTGATTTTTCAAAAATTCGAATGGAGCCTGTCATGCACGATTTTCTCGCGATAACTGAAAGTCAAAAAAGAGAAGTCAGAACAATCGAGTAACAATCGCGGGAAAGTTGCAAGAAAAATCAGTGGGAAATTGCTATTCGCAATTTCCGTCACAATAATAATCTAGAGTAGAGCTGTCCCATTTGAAACAGAGACAAGCGTATTCCCACGAACTGGATTATTGTGACTTGACTGGAGTATTATTCTAAACTGGACTAGAGTGAACCTTCGGTGGAAAGGTGGACAGCTTGAGTGTCCCAATGGTTCACGAGAAACCACAGTCTAGAGTACAAACTTGTTCTTGTTATTAAAACTGACAAACATTAAACTCATTTTAGTTACATATTTAATTCTCGAGTTAATTACCGACTGAAGTGCTTCCCTTTCTTGAGTGTGCTACGATGTGAGTACTTAATTTAAATTTCTAGAGTGTGTTTTACAATTGATATGTTGAGGTAAGGCGAGTTTTAGGTTGATCCATCTGAAATGGATCAAAGTTCCACTGTCTAATAAAAAGTAACTCAATGGATTGTTCCGACCCGGTTTTTAACGGCGTTCATGTATTTTGGGTATTTTGAGACCTAAGTATGGGGAAGTTCTTAATTCTAGAGTGGGGGATTTTTTGTTAGTAGCCTTAAGCAGTAATGGGTCGTAGTCTCATGTCACAAGCGAACCGAATTGACTCCGACTGATTTGAGGTGGAAAAACACAAGAGATAGTGTCCCTGACTCTTGAGCCAATAGTTATAGGGCCTATTTTTCTTAAGCCTCATGTGTGACTGCAATGGACGAATGTTACATAGTGTTTTTATGGCGCTCCTGGGTGTTTACGACATCAAGACTACGGAGTCGAACCCACTTGAGACAGCTTCGGGCTACATGCCCATTCTAGCTAGAGTACCGGTGGTACGGTTCGACAGGAACGTGCGAACCTTCTGGTTGTACCGTGATAGCTTTTTAAGAAAACTCGAGAAAAATTCCTGGTACGCTCTCCGAACGAGGCCTAGCTAACCGAGTAAAGGGGGGCAACTAGGGGGACAAAAACACGAGCAAAAAGACAAAAAGCAAAACAAAAATCAAAAAAGAATAGAAAAAGGAACAAAAACCACAAAACGAAAAAAGACAGTGACTTTGACACCAGATTAGTTGGATCAAAGCTTTATATTAATTAAATAGTATACCCATACTGTTTTAAAAGTTCGATCGTTTCGATCAACCTAGCAATTTAACCCAGTAACCTTAATAAAGTGCCCGAGTGTGGGGCGTTGTCAAGGGTTTTCAGATAGCTTGGTACTTAGCTGGACAACCAGGAGACTTGACTGGAAGAGGTGACCAGCCGAGTGGGAAAGTGGTTCAGGAGCACTTGAGCTGAACCAATAGGAGATTCGACTGGAAGAGGTGACCAGCCGAGTGGGAAAGTGGTTCAGGAGCACTTGAGCTGAACCAATAGGAGACTCGACTGGAAAAGGTGACCAGCCGAGTGGGAAACTGGTTCAGGAACACTTGAGCTGAGCCAATAGGAGACTGGACTGGAACAGGTGACCAGTCGAGTGGGAAAGCGACCAAGAAGGATTTGGCAGTTCTCGAGTTCTCAAGTTGGGCAGAACGGGTATCGTTAAAATCCACATTACATTATAGGAGATAAGTGTAAAATTGGATAAGCGAAATCCCCCGGTTTTGAGGAACGTTTTTACTTAAGCAGGCCTGGAAACAGGTCTACGGTTTTCTCTTGAGAGGTTTAGCACCCGGCGCTTAAGGTAATTTTTAGGCTTAAGAAGGGGGGCTAGAAAGGGGGAGGTTAGAAGGGGGGCTGGTTAGGTTAGAGGTTGGCGGTTGCAAATTGTAAAAGGGAGGAAATTAGAGTAATTAATTAATCGACATCGTTGATTTAGTTACATTAGCCATCAACACGCGTTGGTAATAATAGGTTGATATCCAAAATTTAACTCGAGTTAAGATTGGTACGCTGGTTGGATTGGTAGGGGGGAACGGATATAGACAGTTTTTGTGATACCCCATAAGATCGCTAGTGGGGGGAGGAAAACGCGTGGCAATTAGGTACCAGACATTTTTTTTCGATAGAAGGTTGACATTCGTCACCTTTGAATTTTAGGTGGGTTCATCTCTCTGTTTTTATGATTATTTTTTTTACTTAGATTTTTTGTTGCATTTTGGTGAGGATTTATGTTTGGTTTTTATACGAACAGGTGATCACAAGATACCTGCGCACAGGTTTTGGTCTCAAGTTGCTTGGAACATTGAAATAGAGGTAACTAAAAAGAAATAAGAAAAGGGGGGTCAGCATTTGGCTTTTAAGAGAGGGTTTTTGGGGAAATTTTACTAGAGCTTGAGTGGTGGTACAAGGTACGGTGAATCAAGAAGACGCTACAACGAAGAAAAAAGAGATCCGATATCCAGACAATCCGTGACGAGTCTTGGGACAGTACCGAAGAAGTCTAGAGTACAAACTTGTTCTTGTTATTAAAACTGACAAACATTAAACTCATTTTAGTTACATATTTAATTCTCGAGTTAATTACCGACTGAAGTGCTTCCCTTTCTTGAGTGTGCTACGATGTGAGTACTTAATTTAAATTTCTAGAGTGTGTTTTACAATTGATATGTTGAGGTAAGGCGAGTTTTAGGTTGATCCATCTGAAATGGATCAAAGTTCCACTGTCTAATAAAAAGTAACTCAATGGATTGTTCCGACCCGGTTTTTAACGGCGTTCATGTATTTTGGGTATTTTGAGACCTAAGTATGGGGAAGTTCTTAATTCTAGAGTGGGGGATTTTTTGTTAGTAGCCTTAAGCAGTAATGGGTCGTAGTCTCATGTCACAAGCGAACCGAATTGACTCCGACTGATTTGAGGTGGAAAAACACAAGAGATAGTGTCCCTGACTCTTGAGCCAATAGTTATAGGGCCTATTTTTCTTAAGCCTCATGTGTGACTGCAATGGACGAATGTTACATAGTGTTTTTATGGCGCTCCTGGGTGTTTACGACATCAAGACTACGGAGTCGAACCCACTTGAGACAGCTTCGGGCTACATGCCCATTCTAGCTAGAGTACCGGTGGTACGGTTCGACAGGAACGTGCGAACCTTCTGGTTGTACCGTGATAGCTTTTTAAGAAAACTCGAGAAAAATTCCTGGTACGCTCTCCGAACGAGGCCTAGCTAACCGAGTAAAGGGGGGCAACTAGGGGGACAAAAACACGAGCAAAAAGACAAAAAGCAAAACAAAAACCAAAAAAGAATAGAAAAAGGAACAAAAACCACAAAACGAAAAAAGACAGTGACTTTGACACCAGATTAGTTGGATCAAAGCTTTATATTAATTAAATAGTATACCCATACTGTTTTAAAAGTTCGATCGTTTCGATCAACCTAGCAATTTAACCCAGTAACCTTAATAAAGTGCCCGAGTGTGGGGCGTTGTCAAGGGTTTTCAGATAGCTTGGTACTTAGCTGGACAACCAGGAGACTTGACTGGAAGAGGTGACCAGCCGAGTGGGAAAGTGGTTCAGGAGCACTTGAGCTGAACCAATAGGAGATTCGACTGGAAGAGGTGACCAGCCGAGTGGGAAAGTGGTTCAGGAGCACTTGAGCTGAACCAATAGGAGACTCGACTGGAAAAGGTGACCAGCCGAGTAGGAAACTGGTTCAGGAACACTTGAGCTGAACCAATAGGAGACTGGACTGGAACAGGTGACCAGTCGAGTGGGAAAGCGACCAAGAAGGATTTGGCAGTTCTCGAGTTCTCAAGTTGGGCAGAACGGGTATCGTTAAAATCCACATTACATTATAGGAGATAAGTGTAAAATTGGATAAGCGAAATCCCCCGGTTTTGAGGAACGTTTTTACTTAAGCAGGCCTGGAAACAGGTCTACGGTTTTCTCTTGAGAGGTTTAGCACCCGGCGCTTAAGGTAATTTTTAGGCTTAAGAAGGGGGGCTAGAAAGGGGGAGGTTAGAAGGGGGGCTGGTTAGGTTAGAGGTTGGGGGTTGCAAATTGTAAAAGGGAGGAAATTAGAGTAATTAATTAATCGACATCGTTGATTTAGTTACATTAGCCATCAACACGCGTTGGTAATAATAGGTGGATATCCAAAATTTAACTCGAGTTAAGATTGGTACGCTGGTTGGATTGGTAGGGGGGAACGGATATAGACAGTTTTTGTGATACCCCATAAGATCGCTAGTGGGGGGAGGAAAACGCGTGGCAATTAGGTACCAGACATTTTTTTTCGATAGAAGGTTGACATTCGTCACCTTTGAATTTTAGGTGGGTTCATCTCTCTGTTTTTATTATTATTTTTTTACTTAGATTTTTTGTTGCATTTTGGTGAGGATTTGTGTTTGGTTTTTATACGAACAGGTGATCACAAGATACCTGCGCACAGGTTTTGGTCTCAAGTTGCTTGGAACATTGAAATAGAGGTAACTAAAAAGAAATAAGAAAAGGGGGGTCAGCATTTGGCTTTTAAGAGAGGGTTTTTGGGGAAATTTTACTAGAGCTTGAGTGGTGGTACAAGGTACGGTGAATCAAGAAGACCCTACAACGAAGAAAAAAGAGATCCGATATCCAGACAATCCGTGACGAGTCTTGGGACAGTACCGAAGAAGTCATGGGACAGAGCAGTCTGGGGACAGTCTTGGGACAG